CAGCAGCAGCAGCCGGTCGACAGGTGCTGCCTGTACTCTCCGTCGCTGCAGCAGGCAGTTGCAGCGGTTTGTCTCGAGCAGCAGCAGCAGCAGCAGCAGCAGCAACAGCAGCAGCAGCAGCAGCAGCAGCAAGAGCAGCAGGAGGAGACAAAGGCCCTTGTATCTTTTCTTCCTTATCGGGTGTATGTACACCCCACGGGAGCAGCAGCAGCGTGGTTTGCTGCTGATGCTGCTCTGCTGCTGCGTGCTTTCTATCGTCGTCTGCATGCAGCAGCAGCAGCAGCAGCAACAGCAGCAGCAGCAGCAGCAGCAGCAGGAAGTGTGGGGGGCCTTCTGTGGTTCAATGCTGCAACACCAGCACTGCAGCAGCGGCTGCAGCAGCTACATTTGCTGCTGCGGTGCTGGGGTGTATCTGCAGCAGCAGCAGCAGCAAATGCATGCGGCGGGGGCTGCTGCATCGACAGCCTTTTTAGTTTGTTTTGGGGCAGCAGCAGGACCCCCTTGTCTTCTGCGATCAGCAGCAGATACAGCAGCAGCAGCAGCAGCAGCAGCAGCAGCAGGAGAGATGCTGCTGCTGTATTCAAGCGGGGGCTGCTGCTGCTGCTGCTGGGCTCTCAACGCTTCCGTCTGGTGTCGGGTGAGCTGCAGCAGCATTTGCTGCTGCGGCGGTCGTTGCTGCTGCGCAGCAAGCAGCAGCAGCAGCAGCAGGAGCAGCAGCAGGTGGAGATGCTGCTGCTGCCAAGTGCTGCTGTTACCGCTGCTGCTGCTGCATCAGCTGCTGCTGCTGCTGAGGAAGCAGCAGCAGAGTCGCAGTTGCTGCTGAATGTGCTGCTGCCATTTCGGTTTGCTGCTGCAGCATGGAATACAAATATAACTCTTCTACGTAGGTCTTGCTGCTGCTGCTGCTGCTGCTGCTGTTGCTGCTGCTGCTGCTGCTGCTGCTGCTGCTGCTGCTGCAGTTNTGCTGCTGCTGCTGCTGCTGCTGCTGTTGCTGCTGCTGCTGCTGCTGCTGCTGCTGCTGCTGCTGCAGTTGCTGCGTATGTTCTCCTGTCGCTGCTGGTGCTGCTGCTCCTGCTGCTCTCTCGTCTATGGCTGTTGCTGCTGCTGCACGCGAGTATACTGCGACTAAATGCTTCTTTTGCTGCTGCTGCTGCTGCTGCTGTTGCTGCTGCTGCTGCTGCTGCTGCTGTGCGCTCAGCGGGCCTGGGTTTGCTGCAGCAGCTGCCGCCCCTGGATGGTTTAATATTTCATTTGCTGCTGCTGCTGCCACCGTCAGCAGCAGCAGCAGCATTTATATCGAGGCTGCTGCTGCTGCACTACAACAGCAGCAGAGAGAAGGCGCTTCGTGCTGCATGCAGCAGCAGCAGCAGCAGCAGCAGCAATGGCAGCAGCAGCAGCAGCGGAAGAGGAATCCTTGCTGCTGCTGCTGCCGATGAAGACAACGCTGCTGCTGCGTTGCTGCATCAGCAGAAGCAGCAACTGCAGCAGCAGCAGCAGCAGCAGCACCAAATTCTCTTCTTTGTTGTGCTGCGCTGCGCACACTACGTTGCAACCCGTAAGCAGCAGCAGCAGCAGCAGCAGCAGATGCAGCAGCAGCAGAAGCAGCAGCAGCAACAACAAGGAGCAACATAGCTTTCCAGCAGCTCTAGAATTATCTGCTGTGTTGTTGCTGCAGTTGCTGCAGCCTTTGCTGCTGCTGCTGCTGCCGTTGCTTCTACAGTTGCGGTTGCTGCTGCTGCTGCAGCAGCAGCTGCTGCTGCAGTTGCTGCTGCTGCTGCTGCTGCAGTTGCTGTATCTTCTGCTGCTGCTGCTTCCTTTTGCAGGCTCAACTGGGGATGGAGAAGCAGCGAAGCAGCAGCTGCTGCAGTGCCTCTCATTGCTGCAGAGGTGAGCAGCAGCAGCAGCAGCAGCAGCAGCAGCAGCAAGGCAGCGGTTGCAGCAGCAGCGTCAGCAGCTTCACATACAACAGCAGCAGCAACAGCAGCAGATGGAATATAGGGGCCCGCAGCTCCATAGCTGACGAATGTATTGTTGCTGCTGCTGTTGCTGCTGCTGTTGTTGCTGCTGCTGCTGTTGCTGCTGCTGTTGTTGCTGCTGCTGCT